AGAACTTCCACCTTTTCACTTAAAGGAAGCACTTTATGGCTTCCCTTTGGCAGATCCCATTTGCCAGCATCACCACTCTTGTGCTTTGGTGCCATTATTAAGTAAAATAAGGTTTACTTGATCACAAGCACTGTGATACTGTGACAGGTGATCTGATAACTGAGATGGCTACCAAGTGACTAATGGGTGGGGAGGATAGTGTATACAGCATGGATCCACTGGACAAAGGGATGATTCATGTCCCAGGCGGGACGGAATGGGATGGCTCAAGATTTCATCACACTAGTCAGCACAGCATCAAATTTAAAACTTACGAGTTGTTTATTTTTGGAATTTTACCTTTAATATTTCTGGACCTTAGTTGACTATAAGTAATAGAAAATGGGAAAAGCGAAATCAAGGATAAGGGGGACTGAGTACTGTATATGCTAAGTGAAATGTCAGTAGCTATATAAGAGCTACCACTGTGAAGTGGAGACGTCAGGAAGGCTTTCCAGAGAAAGGGCATGATCTAAGACTACAGAAGCAAGGATCAGATAGGGAGAGTAGAGTGGTAACGCCACTGCAGGGAGAGAGAATAATACGAGGAAAAGCAAGGAACCACAAGATGGAATCAATAGATACTTTTGAGAGAGCCTGGATTAAGCTTAGGGTGAAGTACTGAAGTTAAGTGATGACATTTTAGGGTTTGAAGCTTATCCTATAGGCAATGTAGAACCATAAAAATTTAAAGACATCCCTCTCTATATGAATTTCTGAAGATGGAATAGCAATTTAACCAGTTCATTATCAAATGGTAGGTTCTCTTACAGCATCCTATATTTGAATATCATACAATCAGCAAGACATGATTACATTCTTGCAGTTTCTGAAAGTTATGCAATTATCTTGATATTTTTGTAGCAGTAAATGTGAAAAAATATCCTTGTTTTCGCTCTTCTTTTCTTTTTTGGGCTGCTTTTAGCAGTCCGAAAATCAGCTTTCATTTTGACTGCCGCTTAACAGAATTTGATTAAAAAAGTAAACTAATTACAACGGAAATGCAGCCCTGCGAAGCTTTAAGAAAAACACATTATTTTGTTTTAGGGTTCAGTTGCTATACATTCATTTATCATCTTTATAAGCGATATGCAGGCGATGATGAATAGGCCCTGGCTTTGAATCAGGAAATGTAAATTATCCCCTTTCTTTCCTTTTTTCCTCTTTTTTTTTTAAACAAATAATGAATACTAGTAAATTTGAAGCTAACTGATGCGCCAAGAGCTCAATGATGATGCAATGCCCTGAAAGCAAAGCAAGGGCTACTCATCTGACAGTCGGAAGCAAAGAGAACTCCTAGTCCAGGGGCTGCGTAACCTGACCCGGAGCGGGCTGTGTCTCTGGTTGAGACAGCTGGTTTGGAGGACCTCTGGGAAGGTGGAGGTTGCTCTGCCATTGTTTTGTGTGTGAGCCTCCCTCATGCGAAGTAGCCTCTGCCCTCGGAAAAGCAGCAGGTGTGTTCTTTAAACCCTCCTTCATCTGGACCTTGTCTTCTAGTCACAGGACTTTGCTCTCTCTTCTTCCTCATCCAATGTTTGTCCTTCAAAGGCTGCTCAGGTTTCAGCTTCATGGGAAAGCCTTCCCTGACTGCTTCAGATTACAATTAAATCTGTTTAGAATATTGAAGATCTTTAATATATTGTGAAAAATGGGTGCATTTATAAGCAAAAAGCTCAATTTTTCAGGATCGACAAAATAAGTTTTAATGTTTGGGTAGCATTTGGATAAGGAAAGAAAATGAGAAATCACGTTCCCAATAAAAAAAGAAAAAAGGTGCTCAACTGGAGACCATGGTGAAGAGAAACCAATTTTGACTGGATGGTTATGATTGTACATATGAAGGAGGGAGGCTTTTGAGAAAGATAAAGGTCAAGATGCTCACCTCAGGATAAATCTTAAGTTTATATTACTCTCCTCATTTGGTATAGAAAAACAAACCTCAGTTGAAAGAAAATAGCAATGTGAATGTTGGCTTCAGTGGTGCAGAAAGTTATGAATACTTATTTTCATTTTCAGGGGTTTTGCAATATTTACACTAACTTGCATATAGAATGTTTAAGTTATTTGCAGGGATTCTGCAAATTAATTTAGAATCGGCAATTTACTTACATTTGGGTGGCATTTATGGATAAAGACATTAGCCATAGGCACTACTCACAAAGTTATGTGTACATCATTAATTCCCATATTCTTTATAAATTATGCCAATTTGATTTTTATGATGTAATTTTACACATATACTGTTTTCCTTTTTAGGAACAAAACTCAAGTATTTCTCCTCACTGTAGCACACAGAAGGTGTTGGTGCACTTCCTTTTTAATTTTGTTAATTTTTGTTTCTTCTCACAGTCTTTCCTTTGCTTTTATTATACCTTCTTTCGGATTGCTGAGGCAATGATTAGGCACGTTGGCCTTGGAAAAATAAATAAAGAGAAGGAAAATATGATGTTCTGTCACTTTAAAATGTAGTCCATTTCCACCAACATATTAAAAGTCTAAATATTTTATTGCCTAGGCACAATCTCATTTTTATTGCCCCAATCACAGCTCATTGGCTAGGATATGCTGGGCAGAGGAGTGAGCTGGTCAGCTAATGGCCTCCCTGCTGCTAAAATTAACTAATTGTTAAAGTAATAACCATAGACCCTCATGGCCTATTTTAATAGTCAGTGGCAATCTGGGAAATTATTTTGCTGCTTTCATTTCGGCAAGTCCTCCTGTTGGCCATTTGCACCCCTCTCTATCCTCTTAAATGTCATCTTGATGAGAAATATTTCAATGAGAATCTGCAGGGAGCTCTGGCAAGTCCCTCCAAGTTGCAATTGGGGCCTGTCGTTTCTTCTGTGAATATGGGAAGAACTTTGGGGTGCCTGGAGGTGGCCATTTATCTATTGCACCAAACTTCTTTTCCAACCTCATCTTCCCTCCTCTGCAACTTGTACCTCTCACATGACTTTGTTTCACATCTTGCTATGTCCTACTCTAACGCTAGCAATGATCTTGCCTCTTCTTTTGCTGGAAAACACTTCATCCATCTCTAAATGATCACTTCTCTCCACATTGGAGGCCCACTCATTTAATATCTCAGGACAACACTATTTTTAATATTGAGCTCTCCTACCCAGATATTCCAATATATGCTTTGCTACAAAACATTTTAATCATATTTTTGAACTTCACGTTCTCCTTTATCTGGTTATTTATTATTTCATGTGTACAAATCCTTTATTCTCAGCTAAGCTTACATTTAACCCAGAAAAGATTTCACACTTTCTCTTTTATCTCTCAGTACCAAGAATTATGTTGAATACATTGCAGATGTTTATAAAACACATGTTGAATTAAATTAAATTAGATGTGGAAATTTCAAAGTTATGCCTGCTATACAAATGTCGTGTGGGGATGTTTTCAATCCCTCATATCGACAGAGGAAGAGGTAAGTTCTAGAGACTCCTCCACCGAGACTAAATCTTCCTGAGTTTTTATAAACATGTCATTAATATGGACCCCATAGAATGGGAAATCCTAATGACAAAATTGTTAAAGTCCCCAGAGAAGACACAGAGAAATTTGTACTAAAATAACTTAGAAGAAGGTGGATGTGAGGCAGTTATGGGGCAAACATTTGAAAGCAGAGATGGAGGGTTAGTTAGCCTAGTCAAGAGGTTCACCTGTAAGGCCAATATTAACTATACATGTTTGCTCCTTATTCACTGGATCAAACATGGAGGGCCTCTGCTGGATAGCTATGAGTAAGCATACCTGCAAAGTTGGGGTTTTTTTTGGTGAGGAAGATTGTCCCTGAGCTAATATCTGTGACAATTTTCCTCTACTTTGTAAGTGGGATGCTGCCACAGCATGGCTTGATGAATGGTGTGTAGTTCCATGCCTGGGATCCAAATCTGTGAACCTTGAGCCGCCTAAGAGGAGTGTGTGAACTTAACCACTACACCACCAGGCCAGACCCCTGCAAAGTATTTTTTAACAAAGCTTTCTATCTGTTTAACATAGTCACTAATTCAGACTTCACAAAACTTCACACAGCTCTTCTCAATTATATTATTGTGACAATATTTTCTTTTATGCCTGTTAAGACATGATTATTGAAAGTTTTTATGTATATTCATAACAGTACTATGTTGATACTAACTTTTAAACTACTTAGAAAAAGTCAAAATAAAGAGACTGAAAACCAGTGTATTGATTTCAGATTCCATGCCAGTCCTGGCATGGTCTGTTAAGGCATGAAAAGCTTCTTGGGAATTATACATTTTTATACTTTGGGTTAGTTATAGTTAACCCATGGAATAGTCATGTTCTAGATCAACGACAGATTTTAGGGGCTGGCCCTCTGGCTAAGTGGTTAGGTTCGCGCGCTCCGCTTCTGTGGCCCAGGGTTTTGCAGGTTCGATGCTGGACATAGACCTAGCACTGCTCATCAAGCCATGCGGAGGCAGCGTCCCACATAGCACAATCAGAAAGACCTACAACTAAGATATACAACTATGTACTGGAGGGCTTTGGGGAGAAGAAGAAGAAAGAAAAGATTGGCAACAGATATTAGCTCAGGGCCAATCTTTGGAAAAAAAAAAAAAAAAAGACAGCTTTTAGACTAGGTTGGAACAATTGCATTAAAAAGTCCAGAGTCCTTTAAGTACCATGTTTTTCACATCTTATAAAGACCTGGAGCTCAACCTTTAAACGAGGGTTTAGTTAGAGGAGTCTTTTTGCAATTCTAGCAAGCCATAATTTATCATCTCCTTTGTACAAGGTCCCTCTTTACAGTCCTGAAGATAAATTTAACATTTGAATTTGATTTTAGAAATGTTTTTGAAAAAACCCTCTCAATAATCATGGTGAGGACTCAGACAAACTTGGATCTGTATCCTGACTCCTCACTGACTAGCACTGTTTCCTTGGGAATATAATGGTAATATTGACCAACTTCAATTTCCTTATAGGATAAAATGGAAGTGATTGCTCTTTCTGATTTGCTTTGGGAAGTGATGAAACAAAAGATGATGATTATTTGTAAAAGAAGAATCAATAGTCGCTGAATGAGGGCCTGAATGATTCTCCGATGAGTCAAAGGTAAGTGCATCAGGGCGTGGAATTTTTGATAGTTATTTTGGTTATTTACATGTCTTGTGCTTAACTCCCAGGTTTCATCTGGGTTAAAAAACAGTTGAGATGGAAGAACAACATATATTCTGCATATATTCCATATTATCGTCTTTTTTGAATTCAAATAGGGAGGCAGAGATTAAGAGCAGAAAGTTAAGTCAGTTAGAGCTGCTTCCAACCTGATCACAGTCAACTACTAGTTATATAACCTTGAAATTCTTAGCAATCTCTCTAAGCTTGAGATTATTTGGGTTAAACATGGGGACAACAGATATATCTACTTCACAGGGCTGTTACGGGGATTCTATGAAGTAATGCTACAGTGCATTTAGCATAGTGCCTTACATACAGTAACAATAATTGTTTAATTAATAATAGCTGTTATTTCCATGGTGGTCTAGTGGTTAAGATTCAGAACTCTCACCACCACAGCCCAGTTTGTTTCCTGGTCAGAGAAGCACACCGCCTGTCTGTTGGTCGTCAAACTGTGGTAGCTGCATGTTGCTGTGATGCTGAAAGCTCTGCCACTGGTATTTCAAATACCAGCAGGTCCACCCATGGTGGACAGGTTTCAGTGAAGCTTCCAGACTAAGACAGACCAGGAAGAAGGACCTGGCCACCCACTTCCAAAGAAAGTGTCCATGAAAATCCTATGAATAGGAGCAGAGCATCCTCTGATGAAGCACCGGAATGTGAGAGGATGATGCAAAAACACTGGGCAAGGTTCCACTCTGCTGTACACAGGGCTGCTAGGAGTCAGAATCCACTTTTGGAATAAACAGTGACAAATTATTTCCATATTATTACTAAGGACTATTCAAACAAATGACACTTTGGTACATGGCAGGCATGCAAAAAGAATCTGTACAGTGAGGCACTGCCACTCTAAAATGACCTGATTAATGACCCATGGTGGACTGGGTGTGAAAAGGAAGGAGAAAAGCCATGAGGAATGGCTGCCACCTGCACAGGGGCTGTGACGATGCAGTCTCCAGGACAAATCACCACTTGCCTTCCTTTGGGAGCCTCAGAGCCCCACGAGAGCTTTATGAGGGCAGCTGAGGGAGATTTGGGGGGTCCACTCAGTGATTTTGAGCCTCCACAGAGAAAGAAAGCTGCGCTGAAGAGAACTGAATTCTTTGCGGACAGGAATGAGGTCCTGTGCTGAGAAAACCACAGTTACAGAGCCAGGCCTGGGATATTTTCAGTATGAACCAAGTAAACCCCAAACCAAATTTCTCTCCAGCTTCTAGAACCTTGAGAGCAACAAACAGAATTCAAAGAGCATATGTCAGCAATTCTAGGTCAAATGAGAGTTTTAGATTAGAACAAAAAATTATGTGTGCATATCTGTGTGTGTGTGTGTGTGTAGGTATATTCTATGCATTTTTCAAGGCCTTACTCAAACCTTTCTTCCTCCATGAGTTCCCTGTAGATTATTCTTATGTCAGACCCACAAATTCCTGTAGCACTGATTGTCTCTGTGCAGTCTGACCCATCTCTAGTAGAGCTGAGCAGAGTTGTTCTTGTTTTTTGGTTTTGGCGAGGAAGACTGGCCCAGCGAACATCTGTGCCAATCTTCCTCTATTTTGTATGTGGGATGCAGCCTCAGCATGGCTCTGCAAGCAATGTGTATGTCCCCACTGGGATCCAAACCCAGGAACTGGGCCATGGAAGCAGAATGCAAACCCAACCACTATCCGCCACCAGGCCTGCACCAGAATCATTATTTTTAAATCCATATTCTTTGCTCAGCTAGAGGGTAAGTTTCCTGAGGACACAGCCTTTTCTTCAGGTGTCCACTAACTGCAGACGTCAACCCCAATTTAGCCCCATCACTTAGCAAGGCGCTAGATCCTTAGTCTGCGCTCATTGCAGAAAATAGAATCAGTGCTTACAACAAGTAAACAAACCAAAAAAAAGAAAACTTGCGAAGTACGTGCTAAACCATCGATGGTGTTTTCTTCTCCTTGAAGGTAATGCTAACTTTGGGAGTTGCGGGGGAAGGTGGCCCATCTGGTTCTCTGACATTTTTCTGGAAATACCATCGAAATGAAAGTGAGAAATGTGCTACGAACTGAACAGTCATGATCTCCCCTCGCATCCGAAAGGAAGATTGCGAGTGTAATGAGCATAAATCAAGGCTGGGCTTGTCCTGCTCGCATTGAGGCAAAGCAGGTTTTCCTTTAAAAAAACATCTGCCATAAGGAGATTTAAATCGGGTGCTCCTGTTTTTAGAAAATCTCTATTTCCTTACAGGATGTCGACTTTGATCGCTAATCCCTGGAAAATGTCTTTTAAGAGCTACTCCAATTGGCAGAAGTGCCGGAGAGTGGGCGTGGGCAGGTGTGGGGAGAGGTGGGGAGCAAAAAACCTCTTTTCCAAGCTGAGGTATTATTTTAAAATAAAAAGACAAGTCCCAGAGGCTCAGGGTTCTGACGATCCCCTCTGTGATTCCAAGAGCGCAGGCCAGGGACACCGTTGGAAAATGTTTCTTTGGCGGGTCAGCAGTTTCCCGTCCGCACCTCTCCCTGGCCAATGGCGTTAATGTGCGTTTGTCAATACTGAATTTCATTTGCCGCAGAGCAGCTTAGAGAGGGAAGCACATCGTGTTGCATTTTCCTTGCCTCTCAAATTGGAGTTCCAGCTTCTCCCTAGCTTTGTGTTGTCAGCAAAACGTAATGCGTTTACAATCGGTCTCTTGATCTGAGGTAATTACCTGCAGGAGAAAGAGCGAGGGTAAGAACCTAACAAGAGAAGCCTTGTGTCGTCGCGCGGTGGGCTGCTGTCCGGAAAGTGTATCCGACTTGTCAGATTGGTTCAAATTAAATTGACACGGTGCTCTTCCAGGCATCACCGCGGTATTATACATCTCGGAGCCCTTTTGGGCAGTAAATGCCTTCAGAGTTAAAAAGGCATGTGCAAAGGAAACTCAAAGGAGCCAGCAACAAGGACAGAGAGGATCTCCGGGAGGACCCGTTAAAACTGGCTATGAGAATGCCGAGGTTATGTTATGACTGAAGCTCAGTTTTAGTCTTCTCTCAGCAATTTTTACTTCTGTGCCACTGTGACAGAGGTGTCCCCAGGCCTTAGCCATGAGGCCTTGGAACCATTTTTTTCTGCCTCCGGCTCCATTTATTTATTTATTGTAACATTTATGAGCTCCATCCAGGGAAGCTGCTGGGTCCAGCAGCATCAGCCCCAGCCTGAAGGGAGACAGAGGGATTCTAACCTTAGCCTTTCCCTGATGGGCCTGGTGACCTTGGCCAAGTCATTTAACCTCAACATGCTGGGGTTGCCATTTATAACTGAGCAGGGGAGTGAATGAGCCCTGGATCACCTCGACAGGGTGTCAAGAGGAATAACTAATTAATGATTGTAAAGCACTTTGCAAACAGAAAGTGCTGTACAAAATGCTTAATATTAATAATAAAATGCATTCACTGCAAGCCTCCAGGCGTATGTACAGAAATAACGACAGCAATTAAAGTAACACGCTAACAAAACTCATTAACCCTCAAATCTCCTTCTGACCGTATTTGGCTGTTGTAGCTTCGTGGCTTTCTTAAGGCTGCCAGGTGGTGCAAGGCGGCAGGCTACGAGGGAGGGCATGGCAGCGGGCTCTCCCTCACTTTCTAGGCAGATTAGCAAGTCACTGGTTCTGAGAGCCAGCAGTCCCACAGCCCCATCTCCATTCAGCCTTTCCTCCCTGTTTCCCCATGTGGATCATTTCCTTATCTCTGTGCTCTAGGAGCCACTGCCTATGTCATTAAGCACCCTGAATGGCTCTTCTCTACGTTGTGTGCTTCATTTCCTTCCATGTACCTGTGACTTTTCTCTGCCTAGACTGTAAGCTGCTTGAAGGCAGGGTTTCCCTTGTATTATAATCCCCTAATTCCTAACAGAGGACAGTGCAAAGGGCATGCCCATAGGTGTCTGTGGACCAAAGGGCAGACACTGTCCTCCCTGGGTGATTGATTAGATGAAGGGATGTTATTTAAAATATGCTACACGCACTGGTTATCTTGTCCTGGCAAGCTGGCAGCCATTGGTAAGAAACTCCTGATGTCTGTCAGGGAGGAAAAGTTATGACCTTGGGAGGAGTGGAGAAGGGAAGAAAGGACCTTTTACTCTGTTGTTCAGAAAACCTACAGCTTTGAAACTAGGGGAAAATGAAAGCTGAAATTGAGGGTGTCACTTCAGGAAGAGGAAAGGAATTAATACTAAATGCCTTGAGTAAGCAGAAAACAGAGCAAGGCCTGAGGGGACCACAGCTGATAAGGGACGAAGGGTGGGAATGACATGCATGGCTAGAGACCTCAGAGTGTTGAGGGAGAACACCGAGGACTTTGTGAAGACAAGTTGAACACCTTGTATAAGGTAATTTTTCTATTTTCTTTTTGTAAGAATGAATGGCTAATTTGAAAAAAAAAGAAGTCTTTCTCCTTAACCTCGTTTCTCCTCTTCTGTAATAAGCTACCATTTTGGTTTTTGTTTCTCTTTAACTTTTAGATTTCATACCTCACCTTGCCCAGAGCGCTGGCTCACATTAGAATTTTTGTTAGACACTGCAATAGTGTCTTTTACAGAAAATAAAAGTGGTATGTAAACATATTCCTGAGGCACCGTGAGTCAAAATTTAATCTGATTCTGAGTACGATATTGTAATACAGGATTGTGATATGGACCACTAGATTGATAATGCAAACAGTTTTTTATAAAAAAGATTACCACGTATAGTATAAGAAATGGGCTCCAAATTGTAAATAAGAATAGTATAGAATTTACCAAATGTTATATAAATCAACTAAGCAAAAAATATAAATAAATACCAGACATTCTATTCATTTTGATTGTTTAAAAGAGATTCCCTGGAGAAGAGCTTCTTAAACAGTAATGAGGAGCTTTGGTTTTAGAAGAAATAGCCAAGGAACTCCTGAGCAGCGTTGGGGCAGGGGACTATAAGG